TGTGTGTGTGTGTGTGTGTGTGTGTGTGTGTGTGTGTGTGTGTGTGTCAGGTATTGTGCATCTGCGCGTCTATGATGTGTGTGAGAGAGTGCTCACATGCAGTGGTGCAGTGGACAACCGTTGGGAGTGGGATCTCTCCTTCCAACTTTATGTGGGGTCAAACGGGGGTCTCCAGGCTTACCTGGCTTCGCCTGCTAAGCCATTCTGCTGCTCTTGCCTTACTTTAAATATATATATATATACACACACACACACATATATATATTCTTTGACAAGTTCATATATATGTATATGCGTGTATATGTGTATAGACAGTGAGTTTAGTCATCTTTGCCCCGGTGGTTCTCTTGTATCCCCCTCCCTCTTCCCCCTCCTTCTCCTGCTGAAACCCTTCTTCATGTCTCTTTGTGTGTGACCCACCAAGTTTAATTAGAGTTACTTAGGTGAGCACGGGCAGGAGATTATTTACCAGAGCAAGCGCAACTTCTCAGTGACTGCATCTCTGAGGAAAGCCCCATTAACTGTGGGGCCTCATGAGCCCTCCCTATCCATGTTTTTTTGTAGCATCTTTCCTTAGGCTCTGGCCCTTAATATTCTCTCCACTCCCTCTTCAACATACGATGCTGTCTGAGCCAGAGGGTGATTCAGATATCCTGTTTAGGGCTGAGTACAGCCCCATCACCAACTCTTGGTATTTTGGACAGCCGTGCTCCCTCATTAACTGCCGCCCACAGCTGTAGGAAGTTTCTCTGACCAAGGCTGAGAGCTGCACTAATCTGCAGGTATACATATGAGTGTTTAGAAAGCAAAACAATAGTAGTAGATTCCTTTCTGGGGCCTGTGAGTGCCTCAGCAAGGGGCTCTTGACTAGGTTTATAGTATCAGCATGGGTTCCCCACTGTGGAGCAGGCCTCAAAGCCTAACAAAAAGTAGTTGGTTACACCTATTGTAATTATGCCAGAGTTGCACCAGTAAGCCTATTGTACCTTTCAGGCTGGTGGTGTACCTCTCGGGGTTCACATCTGGGTAACACTGTTGATGGCTTTTCTCCCCAGCTGCCTGGCTCAGAAAAATGAAAGCTAGAAAGCAGGAAGAATGCTTCGGCTCTGTTCAGCTTCATTTCTGCGTTGTGTATCTGAAGTGTGTAGTTGGTTTTTCAGCAGCAGGGTCTTACAAGTATGTTCTCCTAGGCAACCTAGTTGCTGTTGCCTTAATCCTACTCTCTTCCATATGCACAGTTTGTACATAGACTTTTTTAGCCCTTTATTTTACTGGTGGTTATAACTGCTTCCTCTCCCTCATTCTAGGCTCCTAATCGTGAGCTCATGACTTACTGGCTACAGGAGCTTCAGCAGAAAAGATGGGAGTATTGCAACAGCCTCGACATGGTGAAGTGGGACAGTGGGACTTCCCCAACTCTAGGGGATTTTCCTAAGGGGCTTGTAGCCAGAGATAACACAGGTAAGACACAGTAGAAGGTTCCATATCTGTTCTTTCAGGTAGATAGCCATTTGACACAGCAATTCAAATTAGCAGTGGGTGAAAATGAACTCAGAATGAAAATAATGTCAATCTTTTATGAATGTACTGCAGTCCATAATGCCAACTGCTCCAGGGACAGCCATTTTCAAGCTAGTACTAGCCTGGGTGGCCAGGCAAGGCTGATCCAAGCATATTTGACTACAAGGCTGGCCCACTTCCTGCCATAATTAAAGATGAGGTACACTCACCTATGTATTCATTGTATTCATGTTTGGACCAACTTTCTGAAGCTTTGTATTTTGAATGTGGCATTCCACTGGTTATTTTCTAGTATTCTTAGGAAGGCTTTAACAGCCAAGCACTGATTCTGTTTTATTCCAGTTTCATGGCATTTTCATAGGTTCTAGTAAGTCCTGGCCATTGGCACCCAAGTGAGAATGTGCTTTTATACTTGAAAAGCAAAATCTAAACACCATGATCTTCCCATGACTTTTAATTGTATTGAGCCCTCTAGAAAGAATGAGTCAGTTATTTGCAAACCATCTTACTGACCTACCTCTCCCCCTCCAAAGGCTATAGGGTGAGGCTGCTTTTTGTGGCATCCTTCTGTTAGCTTGTTACAACAAGCCTGGAGCTCCTAAGCCCTTAAATGAGCTCTAAAATGGCCAGGGCATTGTATTAGCCACTTAAAATTATATTCGTGCACGTGTGTGTGTGTGTGTGTGTGTGTGTGTGTGTGTGCGCGCGCGCGCACCCCTGTATGTGGTATGGTGAGCATATATAAAGGTCAGAGGACAACTTTCAGGTGTCACTTTTCTCCTTTTACCATGTGGGTCCCGGAGATGAATTCAAGTCATATCATATCCTCAGCAACAAGCACATTTACTCACTGAGATATCTTGCCAGGCTTGTATTAGCATTCCTAGTTTTTGTTTTGTTTTGTTTTGTTTTGTTTTGTTGGTTTTTTGGGTTTTTTGTTTGTTTGGTTGGTTGGTTTGGTTGGGTTTTTTTGTTTGTTTTTTGGTTTTGTTTTTTTTTTATTTTTTGAGACAGGATATAACTATGTAGCCTTGGTTAGCCTGAACTCACTATGTAAACCAAGCTGACTTTAAACTCATAGAGATCTGCCTCCCTCTGCCTCCGGAGTGCAGGGATTAAAGGTGTGTGACACCATGCCTGGCCTGTACTAACACTACAAAAGAATGTGCATTAAAACTGAAACCAGCACAGGGTTTGTTGTAGCACTTCTGTGAAAAGTTGTGGTCTGCACTCCATAAAGCATGTGGGACCCTCCGTTCAGCAAAGCAAGGGCAGTGACATGTGCTCTCTGAGCACATAGTAGCTGCTTTCTCTGGACTCAGTCACTATCTTACGCTCTCGGATTTGCCAGCCTTGCTTTTCCCAGTTAGGTGTTTTTTTTTTAGTGGACTGTCTATCTTGTCAGTGAGAGGATATTGCGTGTTTGCACCTGTGGATGTTTTTCTAGGAGCCCTTGTCATGGAGTCTTACCATTCTAATTTTCCTAAGAGTAGAGAGGAAGCCTTTATATTCAAGAGCATGGCCCCTTCTGCTTTAGAAGTGGCTTACTGTTTCCTGAGGCATAGTTTTGTTTTTGTTTTTTTAATTAATTAATTTTTATTTTCATTCTTTTGAGGCAGACACTGTAGGCTAGCCTTGGACTCCCACTCCTCCTGCTTCAACCTCTCCATGCTAGATTACATGTTTGTACTACTACACTGGTTTATGGGACACTGGAATATGGTATGCAAGCACTGTATCAACTGAGCTGCATCTTTATTTTTGTTTTGTTTTGTTGTAGGTTTTTGAGAGAGTCTCATGTAGCCCAGGCTAGCCTCAAACTCACTTTGAAACTAAGTGATAACCTGGAACTCCTAATCCTCCTGCTTCTGCTCCTAGCCAATAGACTGAAGTATTCAGAAGCCACCATTAGTGTTCTTTCCATGAGAAGAAGCTCTGTATCAGTTTCAGGATCACTCGGGACCGTGGAAAGAAACTATAAAGCCACAGAGAGCCCCCATGCTGGTGGCTTATGCCTTTTTCACTGAAGATACTCCATTTGCTTTCACTCTGGGGACATAGATCACTCCTCTCAAGCAAGGACTCAGATGTGTAGCTGAAAGGAGGGTAAAGTGGAAGCACCTAGTCTTGGAGTCCCTCTGTTATGTTTTTCCTGCCTCCTTGCAAACCAGAATGGTTAGGTTGGGAAGCCAGAAGAAGCATCTTTAGCTAACATTTGGTTCTCTTTTCTGGTTTGGGGATTCTAGCTATGGGAATTTAGAGTTTGTGCCATGCTATTTGTTCATTCAGCAAGTGCCTGAGGTGGGCCGAGATTTCTCCCCTCAAGTGTCCCCATCAGCCAGAATGTTTATGCAGAGACATGCAGGAAGTGTCAATGAGGGCAAGTGCAGGGCAACCTGGGCCCTTCGAGGGGTTGTTGGGGGTCTCTCTAAGGACACGATGGCCAGGATTCAGCCAGTAAAGGGACAGAAAGGGAGATGAAATGGAAGAGTCAGAGAAGAGCCCTTTCCACACTGCTGCAGGTCAGTAGGGCTGCAGGGGTCAGCCAAGCCAAACCTGGAGGCCCAGCCAGCCCTGGAACAAACTGGGAGAACCTGCTGGCTGGCTTAAATGTGAGATTTTCACCTAAAGCACAATGGAGTTTTGAAAATGGTGTGTATAGAAATGACTAACCTTAAATAGCTTCGAAATTCTAGATAGCTTTAAAACCCATAGCTATCTAAAAAGCGAAAAATTCCAGAGTAGAGCTCTTTTACTGAGATCTGCCAACGTAGGCCGTGTGGGCACCAAGGCTGTGAAGAAGGCGGCCCTGGTCATCATTGAGAAATACTATATATGCCTGGATAATGACTTTCACACCAACAAGTGTGTGCGTGCAAGAGCTTGCCATTATCCCTAGCAAGAAACTCCACAACCAGATAGACAGCTGTGTCATGAATCTAATGAAGCGGGTTCAGAGAGGTCCTGTGAGAGGAATCGCTATCAGGTTACAGGAAGAAGAGAGAAAGAAGAGATAATTATGCTCCTGAGGTCTCAGCTCTAGCTCAGGAGATCATTTAGGTAGATCCTGACACCAAGGAAATGCTAAAGCTTGGATTTCGGCAGTCTCTCCAACTTGCAGGTCACTCATCCTACAGTTGGGATGAATTTCAAAACACCATGTGGAGCTGTTTAAATCTGTTCTGTCATATTTTCAATAAACACGAAAACAAGAAAAAAATTCTAGAGTAGAAAGTCAAGAAGACTGGGGGCTGGCGAGATGGCTCAGTGGTTAAGAATGCTTGTTGCAGGAAATCATGAAATTTGCAGGCAAATGGTGGGATCTAGAAAAGATTATCCTGAGTGAGATATCCCAGAAGCAGAAAGACACACAGTATATACTCACTTATAAGTGGATACTAGACCTACATAAGATAGGATAAACATACTGAAATCTATACACCTAAAGAAGCTAAACAAGAAGGAGGATCCTGGGTAAGACGATCAATCCTCACTCAGAAAGACAAATGGGATGGATATTGGAAGAAGGAGAAAACATGAAACAGGATAGGAGCCTACCATAGAGGGCCTCTGAAAGACTCTACCTAGCAGTGTATCAAAACAGATGTTGAGACTCATAACCAAACTTTGGGCAGAGTACAGGGAATCTTACGAAAGAAAGGGGAGATAGTAAGACCTGGAGAGGACAGGAGCTCTACAAGAAGAGCAACAGAACCAAACTATCTGGGCTCAAGGGTCTTTTCTGAGACTAACACTCCAACCAAGGTCCATTCATGGATATAACCTAGAACCCCTTCACAGATGTGGCCCATGGCAGCTCAGTATCCCAAGTGGGTACTGTCTCTGACAAGAACTCAGTGGCTGGCTCTTTGATCCCCACCCCCCCTTCGAGGGAGTAACATCCTTGCCAGGCCACAGAAGAGAACATTGCAGCCAGTCCTGATGAGACCTGATAAGCTAGGGTCAGATGGAAGGGGAGGAGGACCTCCCTATCAGTGGACTTAGAGAGAAGGAAGAACGGAAGGCAGGATTGGGAGGGAATGGGAGGGGGCTGGGATACAAAGCAAATAAAACAATAACTAATATAAATAAAAATTTAATTTAAAAAAAGGAATGCTTGTTGCAGGAGACCAACAAAGCTGGTCCTGCAGAGACGGGATGCACCAACCAAGGACCATACATGGAGAGGAACTAGACCCCCTGCTCAGATGTAGCTGATTGGCAGCTCAGTGTCTATGTGGATCTCCGAGTAAGGGAAGCAGGGGCTATCTCTGACATGAACTCAGTTGCATGATTGTTGATCAACTTCCCCTTGGCAATGCAGTCTTGCCAGGCCACAGAGAAAGAGGATCCAGGCAGTCCTAAAGAGACTTGATAAGCTATGGACAGATGGTAAAGGAGAACTCCCTAGGGGAAGGGAATGGGAGAAGATGGAGGGAGGGTGGGACTGGGAGGAGTTGAGGGAGGGGCCTTCAATCAGAATATAATGAATAAATATAGTGAATATTTAATGAAATATATAATGAATAAATATATAATAAAAAATAAAAATATCTTGAGCAAGATAAGGAAAAAAAAAAGAATGCGGGTTGCTCCTCCAGAGAACCTCAGTTTGTTCCCAGCAATCATGTCAGTTGGCTCACAACTACCTGTAATCCAGTTCCAGGGGATCCAGTGCCCACTTCTGGTCTCTGTGAGCACCTGTACACACATGGCATATACACAATGACATACACACATAAATCTTTCTAAAGAGAAGGCTGTATTTTAGACCGCTTCATTTCATCGTCAGAGGGAGAAACTGGCTAAAAGATAAATTTTGTGGTTATATAGCAGTGTCCTGTAATATTCTGTAGCCGTGCTATGGTTAATGGCCCACCCTAGCTTGAATGAAAGATGACTGGTTTTCATAACACTGATTTGCATGAAATATAAAACTT